ACACAGGTAACAAAAGGTTTGTGTTGTGAGAACTGTACTGTTCATCCTCCTGTCTGCAATACAGAGCCTTACTACACAGGTAAGAAAAGGTTTGTGTTGTGAGAACTGTACTGTTAATCCTCCTGTCTGCAATACAGAGCCTTACTACACAGGTAACAAAAGTTAAAAAAATGAAAACAAAACTAAAGAAGAATGTATGACTGGTTTAAGTCAGCTTAACAGGAAAAAAATATGTCAGCGAGAAAGAGATATGGTGAAAAGGAAAACAACCTCCAAATGCAAGCTGAAGGTTACATTATGAAACACATAATGATGACAAGAAAGTTAAAATACATAAACATTTTTGATAAAATCTTTGCAGAGAAGCAATCTTGGTTTGGGATGGGGGGGAGTACTACATCTAGTAAGAGAGGCAATTTTAATAATACTTATTTCTGACAGGTAAAAAGTATAATGTTAATAACTAAAGGTTACTGTTCCAAAGATAAAATTTACAAGCCACTTGCACAACTTTTCTTACAGGAAACCAAGAAAACAATCCAAAACCAAATGTCTTCTTATTGATGTACAAACCAAGTCAAAGTTTAAAGAAAACAGTAAACAAATCCCAAACCTTACATCTGTTGACAGAAAACTAGAGAATAAATATACACACAAGAGACTAAACTCTTGATCGTATGAAAACACTCACATATTACAATAACATGGCTGAAAAAAGACAAAAAAAGAGCAGTCTATAGTCCATATATACTATACAAATGATTACTGTAGGATGAATGTTCTTGTTAATGTTTGATAATGAAAATCCTGAAAGAAAATATTAAATTATGAAATTAAAAAGGTAAAAAGAAAGCACTTTAAAGCATACTGTAATTTCTTAAAGAAAGGAAATGGTAACTTACATCATAAACAACTTTCAAATCAAAGTTAATTATTTGATACACAATACAGAGCTTGTATACATACTTTTCAATAACTGGAAATCAGATTCTATTTGAGCTATGAGTGCATCTATTCGCTGCCTGTGTCGTATCCGTAAAGGTTTAAAATTATAAAATTCCTGTAGCAACTTATTAGTTTCTGCAAACTGTTTGAGCTGTTCATTCCTATTTAAAGGTACAATGACCTGAAGCAAAAAAAAAAAATAACAAAAACTTCAACTTATAGTAAAACCAGCACAAGGTTTGAATAAAAAAATCAAATAAGTCTCTAATCCTACATCACACCTTCAAATGTATAACATATTTTTGTACAAGTACTAAATAAAATTATTAAATATTCCAGATGTTTTTAATATCACTGGGTGGTAAATGTTTTTTTAATGAAACAGAAGATTTTATTAGGAAACTTTCACTTCATTAGAAAACAATTTATTAGGTGACATTGGAGACTAAAATCTTTACAAATGCACAAATTTTTACAAAAAGATACTTATGCCAATGCAACAACACCAGTATTTCTCATAAGATCTTTCAAGGATATTAAGACATCTTGGTAACTTGAACTAACAAAGATATACATACTCCTCTATGAACTTACTGGATGCTTCATCTTCCATATTACAGCTTGTTCCTCTAGCTCAGACACATCAGGAAAAGCAGATGGCTGTAGCTGGGAAGTCTGTAAACGTGGTTGTTCTTTATGTGTTCTTCTTTCTTTCAGCCACTTTCTTACCTGAAGGTAAGGTTTATGTTTAGAAAACTTATTAACCATCTTCTTAGTGTACTTAGTAGTTTTTCTGTATACCGCAACCTGTTGAGATTCTTCATAATAAACTCGTAACTTAGAAACAAGAGTGCTTGTCTTTTACGTACGTAGCAGTAGTGATCTTTCATTGATCCCTAGTGTTGCTTTCATTAGAAATAGAAGATAATTTCAATTATCAATTTCATTGGATATCTATCTTTCCAGCCAGCTTTACAGAGTTTAGTTTTATGGATTTTCTTTTTATCAACTTCAAGATGAAACATTCTTAATTTTAACACTGCTTTATTTCTTCAGTAATACCAAACTGTGCAAGTTGACTTTTTCTCGTCCAACTTCAAATTGTGTTTGTTAGCATACCTTATATATGCCTTCTAACATAGTTGAAATAAAAATTAGAAGAAAGAAGGGCAAAAAATTGGTAAAAACAGAGCAATTTGTGACTAATACTAAAGCTTGCCAATCAACCAATGTAATTTTAAGATACATTACCATACAAAAGTGGCTTTTTTCCATCAATTACAGTTACAAGCTATTAATAAGATTCAAGGTGTTTCACTTTTAATCAGCATTGTTGAACAAACAAAGATATTTGTTTAGTCTGTCTGTGTAGCATTACTATTTATTACTGGTTGTCTTATGTCTGAAAGCAAACAGTAAGGAAGCATAATTTCATATGCTTCTGTTTAAATATTAATGATATGAATGAAACAGCATATCATTTTGTACTTTATTATAAGGAGCACTTACATGGTAAAACTTCATCAGAAAGCTTCACTGAGATAATGAAATGTAATTAGTGAAGTATACCTGCTTTCAATCTAGAAGTTTTGTATTACAGCTTGCAACACTAATCAAACAACATCAATAGAACATCAGTACTTTAAAATCTGATTGTCACTATAATCTCAAATAAAAATATTTAAGAAATAATTCATCTTAGAAAAGTAGGAATGATTTTGAAAAAGTGGGCCATTTTTGTGGAAAAAAAATGTGTATAATGTGAAGAAATGAAAAAAGAAGTGCCTTATATATATATATATCTCATTGTACCATGGCAATATAGCAAAGAACAATAAAACATTTTTATTCCATGAGACACAGCATTAACCTTGTTAAAATCAGGGGCATACCTTAGCTCTTCAAAAGTCAAGATATGTTATCTTATGTTTTTAGCTATACACACCCAATAAATCAACAATAAGCAGAGAAAACAGAACTTGTGAATATAATTACTAACATATATTCATGTTAACTGTTTAAATTGCCAAACATTAAAATCTTAAGTGAGGTTTATTACAAAATTACTTAAAATATAACATAAATTGATAAGTATTTCATATACTCAACCACAATATACAAATATGATTTAGCTGATACTACTTGAACAAGATATGAAAATTGGAACTGGTCTACAACTATTAATGCAATAATACAATATAATCTAAACAAACTTTCTAGTTTTATTCTTATACATTCCCAAATGGTTTTCAAACATCAAACTGGTGTATTTATGTGTTTTACACTCACACAAAAAAAGAAACCTATCATTCTATAGGTATTTGAAGAACTTGTAGCAATCTGCCACAATTTAATTCTTCGTATTGTTAGCCGACACTGGGCTAGTCCG